TTTCCAAACCAGTGGTAAATAAAAATGACTTTCAATAAGTATTATATAATAATCTATATTGAATAAAACTTATTCTATTCGTATTAGTTGGTATATACATTTTATTAAAAGTTTATTTAGTTTTATCTGTTTTAGTAGAATAAGGAATATCACAAATTCTAGGCCAAAAAACTAAAGAATGTCATATAAATGAGGGCTAATAATCTTTCGCTCACCAGATGTCGCTAGTTGACACTGAGGTGATCCTTTTTGTTACGCAATGTCATGTAATTGAGAAGTTAATTTTAAATAAAATTTTATCAGTTTCTAAAGTATTATATTGTTACACAAAACAATGCCTCAGTGGTTTGCTCTTTAATTTTTTGCACATTTTAACTCTTTTTATAATTTTCCTACTTTTATGAATATCTGTGGTTTGGTTTATTTATTTTTAATCTAATTAATATTAAAAAAAAACTTTTAATTTATCCAACTGTGCATGCCCTAAGCGCATTAAAAAATTACGTATAACATGATTATACGTAAATTTTTTCAACCACCACCATCGGCTTCAACACCCTAGAAAACCAAGAAAATGACACCCACGATGAAAAAATTGATACCTATTGCAGCCGCCACCTTGGATTTACGTTTCAACAGCACTATCGGCTTCAACACCCGCGAAAACCATGAGAATGACACCCATGATGAAACAATTTATACCTATTGCAGCCGCCATCTTGGATTTATGTTTCAACAGCACTATCGGCTTCAACACCCTCGAAACCCATGAAAAGGACACCCACGATGAAAAAATTGATACCTATTGCAGCCGCCACCTTGGATTTACGTTTCAACAGCACTATCGGCTTCAACACCCGCGAAAACCATGAGAATGACACCCATGATGAAAAAATTTATACCTATTGCAGCCGCCATCTTGGATTTACATTTCGACAACCCTTTCGGCTTCAACTCTCTCGAAAACGATGAAAATGACACCCATGATGAAAAATTTGATACCTATTGCAGCCGCCATCTTGGATTTACATTTCAACAGCACTATCGGCTTCAACGTCCTCGAAAACCATGAAAATGACACCCATGATGAAAAAATTTATACCTATTGCAGCCGCCACCTTGGATTTACATTTCGACAGCACTATCGGCTTCAACGCCCTCGAAAACCATGAAAATGACACCCATGATGAAAAAATTTATACCTATTGCAGCCGCCACCTTGGATTTACATTTCGACAACCCTATCGGCTCCAACACCCTCGAAAACCATGAAAATGACACCCATGACGAAAAAATTGATAAACTTACTTTCAGTACGTACTACTATTATTTATTCTGTGCTTTTAAAATATTGTATTAAAAAAAATCTCTCATTATTATTATAATCAAGTATTTAAGAAATTTGGTTATTCGAATATTGTGTATTTGTACAGCGATCTTTTTGACACGCTGCAAACAACCGAAACAATGTCCACTCACGACGACGACTGACGCCGAACTCGGAAGTCGGAACTAACTGAGTGACGCAGTGTCATACAAGGCTGCCGAGTACACTGAAAATTTCGCCATTTCGTAGCCGATAAAAATTTATTATAACTAAACTAAACAAAATTCAACTGCCATTTACATTCAGTGGCTTCCCACATGATAAATGAAGAGTTTTAAAAATATATTGAGTTGAACAATTGATATTTTCAAAAGTTATCGTGTTTAGTAATTATATGTACAATATGATTGCTAGATACGATTTCATGCTACAAAACGTTGGAATCCTAATTTTTATGCCCTAGTAGAACATACCGACGCGCTTATGCGCTTACGGCATGCAATACACACCAGGGGTGTCACTTCCACTATGGAAGGTATGGAGCACTCCATACCTCAAGTTTTTCAAGGTATGGAATTCCATAGCTGAAATTAGGAAATAAATCGCATATTACTACAAACCCCATATAAATAAATCGCAAGCCCTTAAACCTCAATACCCCACATCTTATAGTTCAATAAATAAGTTGAGTATATACACTGCAAACTCTTAAACCTTAATACCCCACGAGTAATGCGAACAAATTTGAAAATCGCGCCACCATTTTCCATACCTCAGATTTTTACAAAGTGACACGCCTGATACACACAAGTTTTCACTAATAATCTAATTACTATACTTCTACTTTTCCAAGAATTTCATGTCAAACTTCAATTCAAAAAAAGTTTAGAAAATTCAAAAGTGCACGACTCATAATGCTCATATGATCATCATATCGTCATTCAGGTCACTCCATAAAGTCCAAGACGTAGTCTATTGTCAAGGTGATAGTCGCCCCCATTAACTCAGAGAGACGGATTCCCACTGCACAGAATAATATAGCAGACCAGGCGACGCGCATGAATTTAACAATCAAAAGAGGAAGCGACCAATGGTTCACCGGACCGTCATTTCTCTATAAGGCCACAGCAACCAGAAGAGAAGGCAAGAGAGGATAATATAGAAGAAATTGTGGCACACCACAGTGAGATCAAGGACGCACCACACCTGCAGATATAGGAAGATTCTCTTTGTACAAAAAGCTGATCAGAGAGCCACAGCGACAGTTATACAATTAATTGACACCATGCGAGGACGGGCTCGAGAACTAACCCTATAGCACATCCAAAAAGCGGAGTGGCTATGGATAGAACGCAGCCAGCAAGACAGTTTTGCTGAAGAAATCAGCCGGCTTAAGCAAAACAAAACTTTGGTCAACATTAGTCGTGATCGTGAATGCCAACCTTCGCAGGAAAGTATGGCCGCGATGCCTCGTCACTAGAACATTTCCCTGACCTGACAGTGTGGTGCGGAACGTTGAGATCAGAACGAGAGGCGAAATCCTGAGAAGACTGGTGAGGAAGATCGCCGTCATCCCGAAGGAAGAATAGGCTCGGGGACTACGCCGGAGGAAGACGTTAAGGACGGCGAAGGGAGCAGCCTCCGTGTCGCCCCTTCATTCCCCATTCACGTCCCGTACATCGCAAGGACGTCACATGATGCCCACGTCCAACGAACACACAGCGACGCCGCGTGGGAACACAGCAACGGTGAAACCCCCGCCGCGCAAATATAAGAAGGGCATCAGGCCACTGGGAGTCATTCGATTCCCAAGCGACAGTAAAAGAAGACTCAAGAAATCTCCCTCTAGTGTATTTAGATTAGAATAGAATATTCTATTAGTATTAGAATAAGTGTTAATAATTAACTGTACTGCCGCATTATTCTTGTATATAGTGAATAAATAGTGTTCCACCTTTTTTTTATACAGTCCACCTCAGTCTTAAAAGTCAAGTCAGTTAGTAAAGTAAATGAGCTATCAAAGTTAAATTAAAGTTAGTCAGTCAGTCAATAAATCTATTTAGTACACTTGCCACTCCACACATTTGACTCCATCAAGAGTATCCCTAATAATCAGCCAAACACATTAGCTTATAGTCCACCTGATGCTAAGTGCCCACTGAAGGATAAGCACTTCTCCAATCAACTCCAAACAAGGAAGGTACACATTATATTAAGATGGGTGACACAACTGTTCACACAATTGTACATATATGAAGACTTCTATAGGAAGACAGAAATGAGAACAGGAAATTCTGCTAAGCAATAGAAGTATAGATTATCATTGATTTAATATACATTTATGTGCTATGGGAGATAAATTTAACAATAAACAGATGAGAGAAAAACATAATTTGTTTACAGAGATCGACGTTTTTGCAGTATGAAAAATTCAATAAGCTGCAATTTATGAGCGCTATTCACTTAAATTTTCATAGCCTTAACATATATATTTTAAACTTCACGCAAAATCACAAGCTTATTTAATAATTTTTAACAGTGGTAGAGCCACTTATTATATTATTTTTTTTATTACGAATTCAAGGATTTCTTACATGAAGGGTTGTCGAAAAGGGCAGAACAACGTCTGCCTGGCCAGCTAGTATACTATATAGGGCACAACTGTTACTGTAAACTGTAATCAATAAGATGAAAAAATTTACAATTCCTTTCACTAAACCCCTAAATATGTGGAATCTCGTATTATTTAAACTTTGAAACTCGAACAAAATGATACTTCTAACTCTAATTTAAAAAAGCATTATCCATAAGACCAAATTATTAAAATATAATAAAGTCTCACTTGGAATTCCTTGAACTTACAGCAATAAAATTCAAAAGAAACATTTGTTGCTTCTGGTCTATTGTGTGTACTTTGTACACATGTACTAAGTAACACATCTGTGTACCTTATGTTTGTTTATGTTTGCAAAAAAAACTCAAAATTCTTATTAAGTTGAAAACTCATTAACTCGAAACTTTTAGCATATCCCTTGAGATGCCACTGTACATGAAATAGTGAGCATTACTTATATTAAGCGCACAATTGCAGGATGTACAGGATGTACAACTTAACAATTAAATAATGTTGGAAATAAAATATTAACTTCTGACAGTGAAAAATAAAACTTGACAACAGAAACAAACAGATTGGTAACAAATACAAATAAATTAATTACTCAACGTCTATTAAATTGAAGTGTCATTTAAAATAAAATATTTCTTTCATGGCAAGATAAGAAAAAGTGCAAGGGAGATGGATATTATTCCATCTCGCTTCCTTATGACCATCAGAAGGGTTCATGACCGAAAAATCTTACACTTTTTCTCGCCTAAAACCCATCCGCCAAATTCGTACTGTCGGTCCTTCTTCGTTCCAAAAGATCACACTTGATGCAATATTTTATAGCCAAAAAATATGTCATATGTATACAAATTATTGAGCTAACTCGTCTGATACAGTTTACTATTAAAAAAACCTTTTTTTTTAACATACATTTACATTAGTAGAGGCCCAAACTAGCTACTAAAACAAATTTTATATACTAAAAACTTAATGGATATTAATTATAATATTTATTTTATAATTTTAATATTATGCAAGAGCATTATTATTAATTTTACAACTACTTACCAATATCTAAAGTTGGGATTGCATTCCTTGTAAGTTTCTTACTCGGTGTACGATAGCACAATTTAAAATGTCGATCACAAAGTCTCATATTGTTATAAATATATTGTGCACCCCTTTTCTGCATTTCGCTATCTAAAACTTTCGCCCATAAATTAAACCTGTTCATATTTTCATGAGGATTTGGGAAACGATGCAAAACACCTGGAATTCGTTAGTATTTTTGTTAATTTTCAGCATTATGAAGCTGTTTTATAAATGCGTTAGTTGAATTATACTATTACTTACCATCCGTTTTACACTCAAAATAACATTTGAAATACTTCCTATCTGACGACATTATGTTATTACAAAACAGTTTTGTAAAATCTCAAGTTGAACAAACGTCCAAGATCAAGATCCAGTTAAGGGGAGCCAGGGTCAAACTAAGAAGATTTAAACAAGTCCAGAAATAGGGGAGCCAGGGTGGTCAAACGAAGAAGATATCTAACGAGTCCAGCTAGCAGCCAAAGTCACCAGAAGAAAATAGTCAAAAGCACAAGAACACATACCAAAGTTTCCTATCCAAAGTTTCAAAAAATTGTGTAGAAAGTTTAAGACATGTAACCCTGTTTGCACCGAAAAATATTAAACATGTAGGTACTTAATGTTGTTGTTTTGAAACATATGACCATAGACTAATATATAATACTGGAGACATATGACCACATATGACATAACATAACATTTTTTTATATAACTCTTTTTACGGATCTGGATAATTACTCAGAAGGGCTAGAGCCCTTCTGAGTAATTATCCTTCATGGGTGCACCATGTTTCACAATATTATGTTGATTCGTCACATTATGCAGCCCTTGGGAGATTTTGATGGCAACTTGAGCCAGCAGACAGCTGACAGTTGGCGATGGTATCCATAGATAAATATATATGTAGGTATGGTATCTCAAGGCGCCTATGAACCTATGCAGACAGACATCTTATCTTTAGAACACAGAACACTATTACTCCTACGGAGAAGAATGCAAACTTCATATAAAATAAAATGAATATACCCACTAGCTCCAGCCACAAGCTCCAGCTATAGTCGGCCCACCTGCAATATTTTCGTGGCGGGAAAATTTGAACATTGCTCTTTTTATTTTGGGAGGGTTATTTGAGGTATTTTTTTTGGTTCCCTATACCAGCGTTGAATAAAAGAACAATAAATTACAGTTTTCTATTTATTTATTCAAAATACAAATTAAAATTAAAAAATATACATAACTTAAAAAAGTACTTTACAAAACTGTTATTTTAGGTATAAATTATAGAAATGACAAGTAATTTCCCTTCCACATGTTCTACCCACTAATTACCTATTTGAGAAAAAGATATGAAATCATGTACCACCTTTTCTCATAATCTATATATTTAATTTTCTTTAGGGACCTTCAAGAAAAGAGCGTACTCCTTTTTAAAAGGCCGGCAACGCATCTGCAATTCCTTCCCTGGTGTTGCAGTTGTTAATGGGCGGCGGTAGTCACTTACCATCAGGTGAGCCGCATGCTCGTTTGCCCCCTCTCCTATAAAAAAAAGTGTCGTGCTTTGCATAACAGACGGCGCTTACAAAAGAAGGAATTTGAAAAAAGGGAAAAAATAAACACATCTGCTGGACTCGATCCGGGGTCTTTAGATTTTGAGACCGCCCGATTATCCACCTGAGCTTTTATTTTTTATAGGATCGGGTGACAAACGAGCACACAGTCCACCTGATGGTAAGTGGTTACTGTGACCCATAGACATCTACATCTATCCTCAACAAAGACTCAAGATGCAGATACGTTGTCACCCGTGAGGACTAAGATGGAATGCCTCTTTGCCAGTAAAAAGGGTCTCCGGTTCTCTACACTCACCATATGAAACACAGCAGCGTTAAGCTGCTATTTTACGCTGGTTTTCTGTGAGAGTGTGGTCCTTCCCCGGTCGAGCCGACCCATTCGTGCTACAACCATAATATAGCTGCAGCATGGCTCTACCACGTAGATAATTATTATATAGCTATTATAACCTTGTGCGTTGTGGCGAAAGTTACCTTCGTATTCTAATAATATTTTAGCAATATTTCATTGCCTGATAACACAGATAAAATGGCATTTTCTAAAAATAAATAATGTTCTATAAATATTAATAAGGTGCTAAGAATCTCCGGTGGAGGTTCGGTTGCCACCTACGACGACTCGACTTGAGAACATATAACGCACGCACCCTGAGGACTGACGAGAAGATTGTGGAGCTGGAAGAAGAGATAGAAAAGTTACGCTGCCATATTATAGGATTATACGAAGTCCGAAGAGAGGGGGAGGAAACGGTAATCCTCGGATCCGGCAACTTGATCTATTACCGGGAGGGCGACCATCTATCCCAAGGAGGTGTCGGATGTATCGTCCACAACACGTCACGGATGTAACGTCTCTCGTTAACAACGTTGTAAAGATTGAGAGTGTGTCGATGAGGGTTGCGTACCTTATACTCAGAATCACCAAACGGTATTCGCTCTTCGAGATTGACTTCATTATGACGACCAGACGACAACAGTTCAGTGATGTCTCAGTGATCGCGAGGGTGAAAACCGGCAGCGATCACCGAATGGTTAGAGGCACACTGAACCTAAACGTTAAGTTGGAGAGCTCTCGTCTAATGAAGTCAACGCTCCGTCCCCCTCGTGCTTTAATCCAAAGTCCCGAAACCTTTCAGCTCGAGTTACAAAACCGTTTTCAGTGCCTAGAATACTGCAATGAAGTGGACGATATGAATGACAAGCTCGTGGAAACTGTCGATGCGGTCGGAGCTATGTTCTGCAAGACCCGCCGCAGAAAAACACAAAAACTCTCCGATCACACTCTTAATCTCATGGCTGTTAGACGGGAGATGAAGCTACATTTTTCAACAGATTTGACAGCATACAGGCAACTGAACAGACAGATCTCCAAATGCATGCGGCGGTACTTACGCAACTTCAATACAGCTCGTATTGAAGAAGCGATCGAGCGGAACCAAGCCTCCAAAGTCTTTGCCAGAGATCTGTCTGCCAGAAAGAGCCAACTGTCAAAGCTGAAGACAGAATGTGGCAGCATCGTTTCCGGGGCACCTGAGATTTTGAGTGAGATTGAGAGGTTCTATGGGCAGCTGTACACGTCATCGTTGGAGCCACACGCGAGTGTGAGTAACGATCCAAGAGCGAGTCTTATCCGACATAATATCCCGGACGTCAGTCTGAGCGAGATTAGAATGGCTCTCCAGCACCTTAAAAACGGCAAGGCACCAGACGAGGATGGAATTACAGCGGAGCTTCTGAAAGCGGGTGGAAAACCGGTACTTGAAGTCCTTCAGAAGCTCTTTAATTCCGTCCTCCATGGTGGCATAACACCGAATGTGTGGAGCAGAAGTGCGGTGGTCTTGTTCTTCAAGAAAGGCGACAACGCTCTCTTGAAGAACTACAGATCGATTTCCCTTCTGAGCCGCGTCTACGTGTTGTTTTCGAAAGTCATTACGAATCGTCTCGCGCGCAGTCTTGACGACTTCCAGCCTCCTGAAAAAGCCGGTTTCCGAAAAGGCTTTAGCACCATAGCCACATACATACCCTTCGGCAAATTGTACAGAAGTTCGTGGAGTACAATTTACCAGTATGTCTGGCGTATGTAGACTATGAGAAAGCCTTTGATTCCGAAGAGATTTGGGCGGTGCCACAGTCCCTTCAGCGATATATCGAAGTGCTGAAGTACTTGTACAGTAGGGCTAAGATGGCTATCCGAGTACAGAACCAGAGTACGAAACCTATCCAATTGCAGAGAGGTGAGAAGACAGGGGGACGTTATAACCCCGAAATTCTTCACCGCTGCATTGGAAGATGTTTTCCAGCTTCTGAACTGGAAAGGATACGGTATTAACATCAATGGCGAGTACATCACTCACCTTCGATTTGCCGACGATATAGCCCTTATGGCAGAATCGCTAGAGGACCTAAGCACTATGCTCAATGACCTCAATAGTGTTTCCCAACGGATAGGTCTCAAGATGAACATGGACAAATCAAATATGTGTCGCTTAATTTCAAACAAAGGTAAATCCATTGAAAGTAATTCTGAGTTATTTCAGAAAAATAGATTCTGTCCAAAATACATAGTTTCATAATGAAAGAAATGTTCTATCATAGATGATAATCAGTAAACAGTCAAATTAAATATTAAATATAATAATAATACGTCGTATAAAATATTTAAATGCGTTTTTAGTTTGGATTTATCTACGTTTGATGTAACATGACTGGATTTACCAGTTATTGAACTAAAAAGGTATGGATTTACTTATATATGATAAAATTTAACTGGACTTACCAAGATTTGATAAAAATTACTCCTCGATACTTACATACAAGGGTTGTCACCAAAGCAATTAATGATTTTATAAATACTGATCTGTTGAAATAAATTAAACAAACAGTACAAATCAAACAGTTTATTTAACCTTCTCTAACAAATTTAATTAATAAAATTTAATTTTTCTAGTTCCTGTAATAGCGGCCATTTTTTCCCAAAATATGTTTCCAGTAATTTACAGACATCAACCAACTTGACCTCTTGAACTGAAACACCAATTGAGACTGTATCTGGGTTGAATGTTACAAAGCTTTGACCACGTTTCGTAATTGACTTGTTCACTCCCTTATCACAGTAATAAGAGATTTCACCCCTGATTTTTACTTGGTTTCTTCCAGTTGTGATAATAAACCTTTTGAATTTGGCAATCTGAAAATGCAAACTTTGAGCCAACTTCAATATATTTCTACACTGACTTTTATAAACGAGAATGGTTACTTCTGTTCCTAGACGATAGACAGTTGCATGTTCTTCTACGATATCAATGTACTTTTGAGGCTTAAGAATCGTTTCCTTCTTCCTTATTTGCTTTTCTGTTAGGGTAAATACCCTGTCTGATGGAAGAAATGTTATAAAGTAGAAAAATATTTCATCCACATCTCTGTAACAATTTTCATATAAATATTAATAATCACAGTGAATTTTACGTACAACCCTAGGGTTGTTGCAGTCTTTTCATAACCTGTAAAAGAAAATAAAAGTACTTACAGTTTTTTTTACTTTGTCCTGTTGCTTTTGTTTGATTTTTATTTTTAATCGTTTTCGGGCTTTACTTGGGGATACAATTTTCACCGAATTATTCATTGTTATAAACTTTTACCCAGTTAAATGAATAAAATATCGGAGAACCGACGACCAACTTTTGATAATGTAGCGACCACTTTCAGCCATATTGAATGAATGCACTGCGGTGATTGGTTAAGTAGGATTTGCCTTCACTTGATAAAAACGCCTAGTCGGATTTAGCTTTGTTTGTTAAAAATGCATGATTTGTTTATCATTTCTTTTCAAATATGATTGGATTTGTCATTGCTTGTTAAAATGAGTGTAAAGTATTTTATTTGAGCTTTCATTTTATACCAAAATGTCAAATATTGCACATGATGGAGTTACCTTCATTTGAAGTTAAGCGACTGATATCATCTTTAATGTCCATATCACACCTATGCCAGTAGTTGTTGGGAGCACTAAGCTCGAAGTTGTTTGTGCTTTGTGGCATTCCTTGGGGGAGGCCTATGTTCAGCAGTGGACTTATGAAAGGCTGTAATGATGATGATGATGATGATAGATGCAATAGGTTGTAGGTTAAGCCGGAGTTAGAAAATAAGGTAAAAACTTAAAATAACAATTTTTATTGATGTCGGTAGTGTCTTTAAGTATTGGAGCTGATGAAACGTGAAAAATCGTGAAACGGCTTTTAAGTTCAGTGTTTTCCTAAAATATTTTGGATTTGAATT